GAGAGAGAGAGAGAGAGAGAGAGAGGGCAGAAAATGAGGGATGCAATGTATCAGCAACTTTAGAATTTGAATTGAAAATTATGTCGATCAAATCAAAATAACCAAAATGTTATAAATCCTAACTCAATTAGGTTTAAGGTTGTCACTGTATGTGATGGGCCCTAATTTTGATTCATACCCATCTGAATCAGGGCCAAACCAGTCCTTGGTCAGGATATGGTTCATCAATAGGTATAACCATAAACATCCCATGAGGCTGATATATGATAATCATTTGACTGGAAGTCAAAATCTTGTACCTTCAAGAACACCAATATCGTAGCCTAGCGATTAAACATGACAATAAATAATCTCATCAAATAAAAAAATTTTAAGCTAGATGATAATTTCAGATTTCAGCATAGCTTAAAAGTAAAACCACCAACACCGGGACCTATTTGATCTAGTTGGAGTTGGAATTTTTGCTATGTTAACGAGGAGCATGAAAGAGTCCTGCCCATTTGCTTCTTAGAATCCCACTAGCAGACGACAAACATTGACTTGAAGCTTTAACATTATCCATATTTATCATGTTATACTCATCTTCCAAGCATAGATTCCATGAAAGAATATTAACACCAGTTGGGGAGTGCTGAACAAAATTGACAAGGCAACGGATTCATGGACTCATGAGAAAAGAATATTAATTATAAATAAGCGAAAGCCAAAACTAAGCATCATAGAATTAAGTTAAAATCCATATAAACACATCAAACTCCAAGAGAGAAGTACAAGTATTAGACAGTAAAAGATGAAGCCCTTAGGTGTCACCACAAAAGCTAAACCAGAAATTAACAACTTGCTGGTTTCATATGAAGAACAAGAATCGAACCTTTCACTTATAGAAGCAAAAAGCTGCGGATCTCGACATCAAAAAAATGCTGAAAAGCATACCATAACTAAAAACGTAAATTTTCATCAAATTAGCCAAAGCAACTGAAAACCACCAAAAAAATTTGCCAACGACTAAACCTTAGTTCACGAACACATTACTTTCTCAACGACAACCGAAAACGAACTGACAGATCCCACAAAAGGACAACCTCTCCGCGATCAAATCAATCCGATGAGAAACCAAGGAAAGGAAGAGTGATCGAAGGCGTACGATAAACCGCTGGTAGAACTTGCGCTTGAAGTGGTCGACGACGTCGGATCGAGCGGCCATGTGGGGCGGGATCAGGACGTTGGACCAGTACTCCGCCCATCGGGGATCGTTGTCGTAGTCGTACGCCGCCGCCGCGATCCTCTTCAGCCGCTGCGGATCCCTCTCCTCCTCCTCCCCCATGGCCTTCTCTCTCCGGATTCGCGGCGATGGATCGACGAAGAACGAGAGGCGGGGGAATTTTTAGGTGGCTTTACTTTTGGTCTTCTCTCGTCGCGGTCGGGAATCTTCTTAAACCCACGATTTAGGTCTTCTAGCAAATGGGTCGCGCTAACGGAGCTTTTCGTGGATCGGATCTATCTTCGTGGATCCGAAATCAAAACTGGTCCGATCACCGACCGATTCGGACTCATATTGCGTGTTGATTACAGAGTATCTTTTGTAGTATCGCGACAAAACCGTCATTAATGTTTGGAAGCTTCGGATCCGACAAAACCTCACACGCATCATCTCCTGCAGGACCTCCGTGGTGGCGGAGTAGCTGCACGGCGACGACAGAATCCTGACCCCTTCATCGTCCGCCAGCGACGAGACCCGGAGGGACCACTTCGAAGCGGTCGTGATGCCGGCGGCACGGCCCACGAGCTCAGCCCTTCCGTCTGCGCTCGCGCACAGTTGGCTCAGCACCCCCAGGTTGAGCTCCGTCGTCGTCAGCTCAAGCTCCACAATCTCCTGCACTCCACCGGCCTCTACTATCTTGATCCGATTCCTTCCCCATCCGCAAGCATGTAGCAGGACCTGCAGCGCGGCTTTGGTTGCTTGTTGAGAGATCCGATCGCGGACGAGGGATAACACAGCTCGGAAGAAATCGGGCTTCAGTTGCTCTAACACTCTCGAATCTGCTGCCTCGATCACGGACTTCAAGACCAGAGTTGCCGTCGATCTCATGTCGCGGTTGTCCCCCGCACCATGCAGCAAGATCCATGTCATCGAGTCGATGATGCGGCGATCGCCGTCGACAATGGGTTTCAAGTCAACAGGAGGTACTCGGAGGGAGCGTAGGACACCGAGCGCCACGTCGATCCGATCCATCTGTTCCCGCAAGCATCGATCACGTCCGCATATTGCAACAATAATCTAATTCGAAAACATTTTCTAATATTTTACTGTCATTAATGTTGATTTTTATTAAGAATATAGATTAATAGATCATAAAATTATATCGAGATCTTATCTAATGATCCAATTCGACATTTTATATAGATAATTAGCAAATTATTGAGACACTCAACTAAAGAACTGCTAGGATAGACCGGGAGATTTTAATTCAGAATCTGTCAATCTTGTATCTACCATGAGGGGCACCAAGTCAGTCAATCAGAGTTTGATCCCAAAAGATGTCACACAGCCTTTATGAGGTTTTAATGCTTCAACAATAGAGAATTTGGAAGAACAGAAAGAACATGAACAGCTCAATCAAGCAATAGTTCTAAGTGATTCACCACTGGCAAATTGCCAGTTTACTGAATGCGTTCTGCCAAAAAGATCTTACAAAGACAACCTCAACAGTTCAGGAAAGGTGTAAGATTGTTTTGAAATAAACAAAGAATTGGCGAAACCAATTGTATGATTCCAATTACGAAGTGAAATTAATTACATCAAAAATTGATATAGATCATGACTGAAGGGCAAAAAAATGAATACAATGCTCATGGTCGGCTCAGTTAGTTCGACTGTAATCACTGTCATGTTCTTGGCTGGCAAATCCCATCTTCTGAAACATTCGGATTTCTTCAGACTGCTGCGACGAATCAAAGACTTCACTCTGGCCTGGTCGGACACCATTGTTTATGTCTAAATCGGCTAAGCTTTCGAGAGCTCTCACCACCTAGTACAAGAGGAAATAACATAGTAAAGAACAAATCAGTAAGAAGATCTCCTTCCGGTTCAAGTCAATGCAGTGGCGCAACTAAGCATCCACAGTGTGAAACAAGTCAGTGGCAGGATTTGGTTTTCTGGAAAATAGTTGTTTCAAATTTTTTTTTCTTTCCGGGATATCCCTGCCAATTTAGATTATTTGGTTGTATGGTTCAGGCTTTACCTGTCCCATTCGAGGCCTCATGGTTGATGAATGCCGAGTGCAAGCAGCTGCTATTTCAATCATACGAAACATCTCATCTTTGTTATAGTTACCATCGAGCCTAGGATCTGGCAGATCTCCAAAATCTCCATTTTCAAGTGCTTGAATTAGCAATGGTCGAGCCTGAGATCGGGTATTGAATTCAAAATTTTTGGTCAACACTGACTTCCTTGCAACGATAAGAGATTACTTTTGGTTGCGCAGCAGCAAACACACACAATGCCAATACAAAGAAGGGAAAAGATACTATTAACACAGTAAAACTATTTTTTTCTAAGATATATTGCAGATTAGCATTAAGTTGTAGCCAGGAAACCTTTGAGGTTCAAATAGAATTTAGAGTTCACAGGATTGATTATTCTAACTATAGAGAGTTATGTCACATGATGGCAAAATCCTCGAGTAAGAGAATTTCCATTGTATGAGTTAAATATATCACAAGTCTTCACCTTAAGTTTTCCCGATTAACAAGAACAGAAATTTATGCTAACACAATGCTCATTAGAAAAAAAGAAACCGTGCAGATGGTGACCCTCTCAGAATGAACACACAAATTTGTAACCTGAGTTGATTCTTGGTAGTGAAACATGTAACTAACATTACATATAATTCCACTAATCTAAAGGATGAACTGTTAGAATGTGTTCGATCTGATGACTAGGAAATGAAACTGCATAAAAGAAGCTTAGTCCATCTATAACCAGTGACAGCCAACTATAAAATTACTTTCTGTAACTCTCTGTTGAAATGAAACCATGCCAGACGCAAACTTCTATCTTCTGTCTAACCTATTCAATTATTTTTCACAGAAATGGACAATAAAGATCCTTTTTCATTATGGATTGGGCCCAAGAGCTCATATGATAACAGAATTGCTCGCTCAATATCTAATGTATGGTTTGTGCCTTATTCATGTGATATGTGTGTAAGAAACTCAGCTTTTGTCATGACAATATAAAACTAGGTCCTACTTTTCCATGGTCAGATGTCGGGTACCTTATTGTATCCCCAACATAGTTCATGGAATCAACAAATTCCGACATGATACAGCCAAGTTCGACCTGATTTTGGTCAATTTCTTGATCTTATACTCAAGAATCAGTCGAATTGACCAGAATCAATTGAGCACAAATGGAGCTGACCACAATTCTAACCAATATGAAACCCTGAAAAAATAAAACGGAGGGAAACAAAAAGAGGAGAAGGATAATAAGATGGAAGTCGAGATGAAGAAATAACAAGAAGGAAACCTATTTCTGTAACTATGAAGTAAAAGAGAACATGATGTCACTACATTGCTTGTTATTCCCCAAAACTATTGCATCAGTTGCCTATCACCACCACTATAATATTCACCATCAACCTTGAGACCCATTGATATCTTCAAAGCAGTATGTACTGCATTGTCAAATGGCATAACCTACTTTACACAATATGCATAACAAGTTTTACTAACTCTTATTTTCTCAGGGTTTTTATATAAGCTAACAATTCAAACCAATTCTTAAATTCCTTTTCTCATTGGACTATTAGCCATTTCTTCACGAATAACAGACCAAGTTGGGATCGCATATAAATAATTACAGTTGCTTGCTTTGTAGCTCCATTCACACAAAAGCTCAATGCTTCCCACTAGTAATGATGGATGTTTATTCAAATGAGAACATTGCAAATTTTAACTAATAAGCTTTTGACATAACAGAAAATAATGAAAGGTTATAGGTATGGAACTTACCCACTCAACAAGACTCTCATCACCGACAGGTTGTGATGTATCAACAGGCTTCCGCCCTGTAATAAGTTCTAAAAGAACCACACCAAAAGAATACACATCTGAATTAGACGTCAACTTTCCACTAGTTGCATACTCTGGAGCCAGATATCTGCAAGAACAATGCATTTTTTTTGGTCAAAAATCAAAAGTGTTGCGATCATTGAAGGAATTGTTCCTGGAATTTCTAGCCAATAGGTAGTAAGATATCCCGATTTGGCAAGGTTTACCTACCCGAATGTGCCCATTACACATGTGGTCACGTGTGCGTTAGCATCCACAGCCATCCTTGCAAGCCCAAAATCAGAAACCTAATATATTGATAAATCAATGACAAGCTTGACAAAATTTTAGAAAACAACAGCATCACATGTTCAGAGTAAGCATGTTATGGAATATGGATTACCTGAGCTTCAAAACTGTAATCTAATAGAATATTTGAGGACTTTATATCTCTGTGGATTATCCGTGGATGGCCTGACACAAGATTTAAGTTGATGCAGATTCCTTAGTTAGTGTCTAATTATTTCAATGCAATATTATGTACAGAGCAAGAAGAAAGGAAATAGGAAATTACAATCTTCATGAAGATATGCTATTCCCCGAGCTGCCCCAACAGCAACCTTAACCCTTACAGTCCATTCCATTATCGGCATTCCCTTCCCTGCAAATGCAATTCCAACTAAGAATGCACATTGTTTTTGATGGAGATAGTTATAGATGCTTTGTGCAATTGCCAAATCCAATGTTGTAAAATATTTTTCTCACCATGAAGATGATAATAAAGAGTTCTATTGGGCACATAATCATAGACGAGCAATCTCTGATTCTCCGAAACGCAGTACCCGACAAGTGAAACCAGGTGGCGATGGTGTACACGACTGATAGTTTCGACTTCTGATTTGAATTCACGCTCCCCCTGTGCACCACCAACTTTGATCTGCTTCACAGCCACTTCTCTTCCATCCCGTAACCGTCCTTTGTATACACAACCACATCCACCTTCACCTAAAAGATTCTGAGTTGAGAAGTCATTTGTTATGATTGATAGCTCTTCCAATGTAAACCACAATTTTGTGTGTCCTAACCCTAGGTCTGATGGTGAGTAATGGAAACCATAGCTTCCTTCGGAACCATGTCTTATGAGAGGATATGATGGAGATCTTGCACGGGATGATTCTATGAGAGGAAAAAGAAAACTAATTAGTTCAACAACTTGTCATGGCACGTAATTGAATGCTTTCTGCTAGACACTAGAAATAGATTGTAGCCAGCAATCATCTAATGCTAGAGTTTCAAATAACATGTTTGCATTAATCTTGCTGATTGTAGGTAAAAAGGAACTCCAGGCCTTACCTGATGCATGTGAAGATGCCGGTGAAGCCAAAACAAGATTTCCACGATATGCAGTAGGTGCAAATGGCTTCTTATGCTTCTTCACAAGCCACACAGCTGCTCCAACAAAAGTAAGCATCACAAGACCTGCTACCACTGCAACTGTTACAACAGTTTCAGAAGTGTTCGCGGCACTCTTCAGGGCATTGCTGCTTCCATGAGAAGAACCTGTATGCTTTGAAGAATTGGATGAGCTCGGGACATTGGGCTTAATTGGAGCAGGTAAAGGTAGTGACGGTGGGCTTCTAGGGGGCATTGAAGAAGGCACAGGAGGGGTCGAATTGCTGATATATGGAGGAGGAGGAGGAGGCGGGGAGGGAGCTTTAGGTGGTGGTGCCAATGGGCTTGCAGGTGCAGAATTAGGGGGAGGAGATGGTAAGGCTGGCGGTGGTGGTGGCAATGGCGGACTAGAAGGCGGGACATATGATGGCGGTGGTGGCGGCGGTGATTGGTAATAGATCGGTGACATAGGAGGGATAGCGGCTGGTGGAGGTGACAATGGCGGCGGAGGCGTAACTGCAGGAGGGGCAGCAGAAGGGGGAGGCGGATACAACTCCGGAGTTTGTGGCGGAGGCGGAGGAGAGGAGGCCGGCGGTGGCGGAGGTGACAATGGTTCAGGTGGTGGAGTATAGGCATCAACTGGAGCACTCGGTGGTTGAGAAGCAGGTGGCGGCGGTGGAGGCAGCGAAGGGGGATCGGCATTGGAAGTAGGAGGTGGGATCGAAGGTTGTGATGGATTGTAATAGCCACTAGGCTGAGACTCTGGCGGTGATACGTCAACTGGCGGTGGTGGCGGCGGCGATGAGTAATAAAAAGCTGCCATCTTTATCTTCCCCATCTTCAACAAGACATCCTCTAATCTCTTCCAGAAAAGTTCACGAGGAGCATCAGCAACGCTTGCTGTCGACTTCCACGGCATCAAAATCTCTCTCTCATTGCATATCCAGAACCAGAATCAGCGAACTTCTCAAGAACTTGAACCCTTGATCCACTCCAACACCAGAGTTGAGCACTCAAGATTAATCCCACTTTTACGGATCTTCTTCAAGGAAAGACCAAAATCTCATCATAATCTTCGTCGAACTCAATAAAACAATGGATAGGATTCTCCTCCCTAAAACTCATCAAGATCCTATCTTTTGGAAACTTTTACCTACAAAGACAAGTCGCCTTACGATCACAGAATCCAATCCACGCGGGTACGAACTCCGTGAAACAAGGCAACCCGAAGAAGTCAGAACAGGACATTCGAGAACAAAGAACCAAACCAAGAAGCCACCGTCCTTCCTCAACCGTAAACGGGAGACAAACGTGACGCGACTTGGGGGAATTCCAATATCTTAGTTTGGGAAGGCTCCTCCGCATTATGAGCTAGCTGGAAACCAAGACCAAGCTTTCAAGTCATGGCGACTGCCAGCTCTCGGGGCACTGTCATTCCCAGTGAGATGAGCAAATAGAGATATCTTATTCCATCCCGGGGAAAACTTCACCAACCGGCTTGGTAAAAGCCCGCGCACTTGCTCGGGTTCGACAGTTCGAGCTCCTGGGTCAACGCAGCCCAGCCTGTCCGTGGCAAAACAAAGTCCACAAGAATCTTTCTTGGATACAAAACAAAAAAAAAGAAGAGGTGACAAGATTTGGATTTCACCGCACAAGATGCCACCCACGGCAAGAAGAATTTTGTGATCCAAAGTAGTGTCTTCTTCAGATCTCTTTAGACCGAGATGGATGGAGAGGCTCCACTTTTCAGCACTTCGCTGTGCGTGCAAACTGTCTGCAACCAGTGAATGACTGGAACAACAAAAATTCCATTTTGCAACCATTGCTTAGCTAGTTTGCATCTCACATATAGTTCCAGGCATCAACAATGAATCAATTGATCTTACTACGTAATCGAATGATTGAGTCTGACTTTTCACAACCAAATGTGAATCACACGCAATTTTTTTTATTCTGAAGAGTAGGCCTACTTAGAGAAAGGGGAATGGCATTCCCAACACATTGTTCTTCGACACTTTCTTCTCCAACCCAATTAAAGCTCTGTATTACCAATCAGAATTCTCTGTCTGATGAATGTGTCCCAACAACATTCCCCATTCATTTGGGTTTGTATGAGAGGAGGCTAATTATATCAGGGAAGATTATTAGGACAAACCTTGGCACAAATTAGTTGCAGAAACATGGATTACATCAAAACAAAAACAAGCTTGTGGACTTGCAGGTGCAGTTAGATTAATGATACATCTCGCTCACGTTTTGTGGCTTGGACAAAGTCCATTCTTTCCTTTGTCGTGTCCCCAGGACTGCATGAAGGAGTCTGAAAACCTAGTGATACTTTTCCTTCTCCTTCATTTCACTCTAAGATTGAAGAAAGAAACCTGAAAGCATGAACCGTGCTCTGCTTGCTGTAAACATGATTCTGATTGTTTGTAGTTGTCTTGCGGTGGTGGGAGTTTGCGGACATGGTGGCAGACAACCAGAGCTTGAGCTCATTATCTAAAGGTGATTAGATTAATAGGAAGAGTACGCACTTCTGAACATGGATTCTTCCTTGTTCTTTCTGCACATGGAACAGCCATGTCTTGTCCCCCCCCGTGAAGTCTTCCGAGACTTTCCATCGCTTGCTTAATTATTGAGGTTGGTGAAGGCCAGAATCCCACCGCAAGCTTCGTTCTGAGGTTCCATGACAAAGGAAATGATTCTCATGATGATGCTAAAAGAAACCATCTAAATTGATTCTTCTACAGAGTTAGGATTTTACTGTAGTATATACACTTAGGTACCAGTGAAGCTTAAGTCACTCTCTCAGCAATGTGTTTTAGCCTCTGCATGATATGAGGGCTTTGTGTCCAAGATTAGATAGAGAAACAAGTAACATTGCACCAGCCAAGACAATAGTCTACTCCCTCAGATCATCAACAATATGTGGATGTACAAGTGATTGAGAGAGGTGACATGGTGATGAGCTCACAAACAACCAGATGCAGTCTCTTTACTTGTATGGATAAGATTGTATACATTGATGTTTTCCTAACTTCTCAGTCCAACACAATGCTCTATGTGACACCAAAACTTAGATTGAATGATAAGCAGATTCAATTCTCAGGATGTTTTCCAAAAAGGTTCTCCCAATTTTGTTCTCGCAAGCCAAAAAAAAAGGAAAAACCTCCAACTTTGGAATGTTTGGTATATGTTCTTCTTAGGAATCTGCCTTCTTCCGCATGTGATGAACAGAGTCCGATCATTTATTTAACCATTCTTCCCTTTTTTTTTTTTTTTTTTTAGTGTTTGATGTTGATGATGTGTTTTTGATTGTCGGATTGGCGAAGTGATAGGGAAGATATTATCGAACAATCATCATTCGGTACATGTCTTTCACGTGATGTCCAAATTAGAAGAAAGAGATAAAAGTTATCCCCATCGATCTATCCGTGTGGACATCTATATCTAAGACAAGACAGTTATAAAATATTATCTTCGTCTTTTATCGTCTACGTGGATAAAAGATCAAGATGAGATTATTAGAAGTGATTAAAGCCTATTTCCTCAAAGAATACATCTTTCATTCGCTAGCAAATATAGAAGCTCATTTTTAATATAATTAATGAATCTTTCTTTTACCATTGACGATAACACTCATCTATCTCGGATTACTAATTTGAATATCAAAAGGATCGATTCAAAAAATCTTTTCGATCTTGATTTCTGTACAAGTGACATCAATCCCCTCAGACACTCAATATTTTCGCCTCAAGGGCACTTCAAAATATCCTACGCATATACTCACACGAATCCGAATCACGTCGGACTGACTCAAATGTCAATAGCATCTTCCAATAACATAAAGAATGTTGAGATTAATTTTGAACACATTACGATTAATAAAGGTTTATGTATAAAAATTAAGATAGATTTACCCAATTGGCGCCCATCCGTTTTATTTGTATGTAATTTGATCCAGATATCTTTTTTAATCAATTTATTCCTTAAAAAGACTGTCTATTCAATCATTAACATAGAGAAATTAAGTGCATCCATGGATAAGATCATAGAGAGTATGAATACTCATGTTGGAATACCATCGAGCATTTTTGGTCAGAAGTGTAATACACATTGGCTCCGTTTTTCTTTTAATTGAAAAACGGCAATCTTTGTAGGAAAAAAATTATTTTAATTTGTTGTATTTAGAAGTGTAATGCCTGCCATTTACGCATTAAACTGCAGACCGTGGTCATGCGTGATGACACAGTGCACTCTTGCTTGTAATATCATGTCCCATGGAAAAGCATATCAATAAAGCATTTAACAATGGTATTAAAACATGCATATAGCATCAACAATTTTGTTCTAATCTGATTGCAGTATGCATATCCTTTTAGCTCAATTTGACATTCTCCAACTCCCAAGCAGGACTTTGCTCTCAAGCAGATTAAGAGAGAGGTAATGTCCTTCCCTTCCAGCAAAGGGACAGCCACTCTTTATCAAAGAGGCTTTTGACCAATCTCAGCCAAATGCTCTACCAAACAAATGGCCCAGAAACCATTGTCATTGGACTACAAGCTAATTAACTTATTTCTTGATGCAGAGAAATCCTGCCCACACTTGATCGAACCTCCACATACAGTGGGGAAAGAAACGACTACAATTAAAATCAATAACAAATGTGGTTTGGCATGTTTGTAGAAGAGTAAAAAAGCTCAATTCCCATAATAAAATGGGAGGTCTTCTTCTGAAGCAAAATCTCTGGCTTACAAGAAAAACCTCCTGCGGCTCGTGTCCATCTCCGGCTAGAATCAAATGCAACGCATGGTAAATTTGATGGAAAAAACAAAAAATCCCAGAACATGGTAAATTCTATACCAAGATCACGAAAGAGTACCTTGTGGACCCACTCATACTCTCCACCCTTTGAATCAAATGTTCCATGTTGCAGGTTCCTCAATTTAAGTGTAAAGCGAGGGCCACACTCCTGCATTTTCAAAAAGAATAAAATGTGAACAAAATACCATGTCAGATTGTCAAATCAAATAATCCATCTCCCAGGTCAAAATTCAACAGCTGTTGAGTGTGGTCAGATAACTAAGCAGTAAAATTTACAGGAATACTCCAGGTACAGAGAAATAGTGTTGCTAGTGTAACAGAAAGGGGAATAAACTATAAAGATCAGACCATAACATAAAACAGTCTTCAAACATTTAAAAATTGGGTGAGAAAGCATCATGGAGTGTGTGTGTCTGGTCCAAGTAATAAATATTGTAAAGCATATCATCAAATGACAAAGTGCGACACTCTTGTTAAACAGTACCTGAAGCCGTACAATCACTTTCTCTTGAGTTATATTCTTGCTCTTGGCAGCCTTGTCCTTGGAGTCATCTTTTTTCTCTTTGGATTCAAATATATACCTATAATTGCAGAGAAAATGAGACATAATCCCAGATGGCATAAATAATTAAAGGGTTTTCGTACAAGTCTACCCAAACAAAAGAAGAAACACTAAGTATATGTTGAGATCAGTTCATGGTACCAACATTAAGTAT